GAATTGCAAGTCCCGTTTAGAGCCCTTTCTAGATGATCATCCCTACCATGCTCATACCCAGAGACTCCAATATCATATCCCTTAATTAAGGAATATACCTTAAATCTTATTAGGGTTCCTATTATAATTTAAGGGTATATTCCTCAATTAAGGGATATTGGAGTCTCTGGGTACCACACTCATCTTCGAGTTGCTCAGAGCTTAGGGCTTTTTTAGGCGGTTTTTGGGTGACATCCTCAGACCCTACCCTAAACCCTAATACCCTAATACCCTAATACCCTAAAACCTAATACCCTAATACCCTAATACCCTCAACCCTAATACCCTAATACCCTAATACCCTCAACCCTCAACCCTAATACCCTAATACCCCAAAACCCTAAACCCCTAAACCCTAAACCCTAATCTGGGTCTTTGTTGGATACAACTTTGTAATAAAACCCTTTAAGGATTAAAAATGATAATTTTTAACATATATCCAACAGGGAACCAGTAATACCCTAAACCCTGAACGGACACTCAGGCTCGGCCGTACCTCAACGCAGGCAGCCGGCACGGAGTTCATTGAGGCCCCCCCTGCTTCGGTAGAAGGTTTCTTTAGTGGCTTAGGGTTCGGGTGTTTTTAGGGTTTAGTGGCTTAGGGTTAGGGTGTTTGAGAGTTTAGTGGCTTAGGGTGTTTCAGGGTTTAGCGGCTGAGGGTTTAGGAGTTTAGGGTTTAAGGCTTTTAGGGTTTAGGATGCAGGGTCAAGGGGGGCTAGCTTAGGGGTTTCCGGTCAAGGGCTAGCGGGTTTTGGGTTTGGATTTTGGGTTGAGGTTCGCGAGGCCTGGGGCATGTATGTGTATGTCTATGTACATACTGGCAATGCCTGTGCATGTACACGTACATGCGCGCACACACATGCATACGCATATACATATACATGTATAAATGTAGACATACATACATGCGTACATACATACATCAGTTCTTACATAGGTACATACATGCATACATACATACATGGACAAGCTTTCTGGCCGACAGGGCGGCTTGGCCAGCGGTGGCATCAACGACGAGGAGGGCTCGGGAGTTGGCTGGCACGTCCGTTTTTTCGTTTAACGGGGTAGGCTTTAGGGTTTAGGGTGGGTAAATAACAAAAGTATGGATGTTGACAAACACAGTAGCAGCAACATCAACAGCAATAGTAGTAATAAAATATTAATCGTCTTTAATGTTAGCGAAGAAACGCCTTGTGCTGGCTGTGTGGGCTTTAAGACGTTCGTGTCGAGCTCTTGTTGTCTTTAGGGTTTAGGCTTTAGGGTTTGTTGTTGCTCTGTTAGCCTACCTTAACCACTAAACCTTAAACCCTAAAACCCTAAAACCCTAAACCCTAAAACCCTAAGCCCTGTTTGTTGTGTTCAGGGGCCTCTGTTGGCTTCGGAAGGTTAAGGCCTTTTGAAGTCCTTGGGGCTCGAGGGGTTGATGGCCTTCCGGGTTGAGTGACAGGTTGGTTAGAGGTTTTAGGGTTTAGGGTTTAGGGTTTGGGGTTAAGGGGTTCAGGGGTTTAGGGTTTAAGGGTTTAAGGGTTTAGGGATTAGGGTTTTAGGGTTTAGGCTTTGGGGTTCAGGGTTTTAGGGTTTAGGCTTTGGGGTTTAGGGTTTAGGGTTTAAGGTTTAGTGGTTAAGGTCGGCTTTAACAGAACTTGTCGGGTTTCAGGCTCGGCGGCAAGTCTGAACCCCTGCAGCCTGCAACGCTATCGTGGATGAGGCTTTACGGCTTAGGGTTCAGGGTTTAGGGTTTAGGGTTTAGGGCTTAGGGTTTAGGCTTGATATCGAACCTCCTGTTACGGCTTAGGGCTTACGATTTAAAGGGTGCCCCTGCCCAGTAATGCTCAGATTTCGGTTGCTAGGAGAAGGGAGCGAGGGCTTAAGAGCGGCGGGAGAAATGCTGGGGTAGGGTTGCGAGTCCTTTGTTATTTTTTATTAATATTGTTGGTGTCATTAGTACTGTTGATGTTATAAACCCTGCAAGACCCTGAGCCCCTACATTCCTTATTGTGGGTAATGCAGGATTTATATCATTAACCGTATTTCTACTCTTTGTAGCTTTATTATTGCCTAGGGTGTCACCGGACTTGTAGGGTTGAGAGTAGACGGTTTGGAGATGAAGGGCTTCATAGCGCTTGGAAAGCCGCAAGCGCACCCAGAAGCTCGCGCCTTCACACACCAAAGCTTCTGAATGATCCCCGGCATATAGGGGGGCCCTCATACACAGAAGAGTATCCTTAGAGCTCTGGAGAGCTTGAAATTCAAGCACAATCCCTAAACCCTAAACCCCATAAACCCCTAAACCCTAAACCCCTAAACCCCTAAACCCCTAAACCCCTAAATCCCTAAACCCTAAACCCCTAAAAAAGCACAATCTACCACCCCAAAGCCGAAGTCCGAAGACTCTCCGACAGAAAGATTCCCAACGAAGACGTCCCGGAAGCCAGACAGAGCAGGTTCAGGGGGTTTAGGGTTTTAGGGTATTAGGGTTTAGGGTTTAGGGTTTTAGGGTTTAGGGTTTTAGGGTTTCAGGGTTTCTTTACCTCAGGCCAACCAACACCAAACCTCAAGAGCTAATGTATGGAATCTTCAGGGTTTAGGGGTTCTGGGGTTTAGTAGGGTTTAGGGTTTCAAGCCTTTCTTAGAAGCCGAAAAAACAAAACTGATGAGTTCTGGGTTTTTGTCTCCCAGACCTCCTTCACGTTCAACTTTGGGAACCGCCGTTCTGTATCGCCAAGCAAGATCCTGGTTCCTCGTCAGATAAAGGAGGCTACTTAGAGGATGATGGGACTTAGTAATCAGGGTTATAAACAACGTAACTATAGTTATATTTAATTATAACTCCAATTAAAGTACTTATAACCTTGCTTACTAAGGCATTGCTTGGAGGGTCGGGAGACTTAGTAAGTGGGCAATAAGCAGACCGATTAGTACCTTAAAGGGGTCCTAATTGGAGTTATGATACTTATAAGTCTATGAAATAACTGCTTACTAAGTCCTCCGACCCTCCAAGTAGGGGTTTAGCGCGCGGGGTTTATCTAGTGGGGAGTTGTCTAAATTGGGTTTTTTTGGGGGGGTTCCCTTTGTATAAGGGTGCCGTACTTTATTGGGGACCTAAAAAAGGAACCCTCATTTAGAGAACTTAGAGAACTACCCAAATATTGAGGCCTAAACCCTAACCCCTAAACCCTAATTTAGAGCCCTAATTCAGATGGGGTTTAAGGTTCAGGGGGGAAGTTTCTGGTGTGGAGTGCGTTGTGGGGAAATTTCGGTTTGTCCGACCCTCCAAGTAGGGGTTTAGCGCGCGGGGTTTATCTAGTGGGGAGTTGTCTAAATTGGGTTTTTTTTGGTGGGTTCCCTTTGTATAAGGGTGCCGTACTTTATTGGGGACCTAAAAAAGGAACCCTCATTTAGAGAACTACCCAAATATTGAGGCCTAAACCCTAACCCCTAAACCCTAAACCCTAATTTAGAGCCCTAATTCAGAGAACCACCCTAGTGTTTGGGGTTTAAGGTTCAGGGGGGAAGTTTCTGGTGTGGAGTGCGTTGTGGGGAAATTTCGGTTTGGCGTGTGAGGTTTAGGGTTTAGGGGTTTGGGGTTTAGGGGTTTAGGGTTTAGGGGTCTAGGGTTTAGGGTTTATTCCTTTAGGATGCGGTTTTCGGCGACCCTGTGTTGCTGACAAGAAGCCGAACGGGCTTTAGCAAATCGGACTGACTTACGGAATAGGGTGCACGCCAGAAGGCCACACTCAACTATCTTGCACGCCCCTATGGGAGCATCAGCCATCATAGTGAGGTGCGAGGTTGCCCGCTTAAGCTTTTCAGGCTTTAGGAGTTTAGCGTGTAGGGTATAGAGTGTGGTCAGGGCTTGGGGTTAGGGGCTAGGTGGGTTCAGGCCCTTAGGGATCCGGCTGATCATGGGGTTGAGATAGCAGTATCCGTCGCAAAAACTCGTCATCGTGGTCGTCGATGTTCTCCTTCTGGTCGTCGTTGTCGTCCTCCTCCTCCTCGTCATTGTTGTTCTGATCATCATCCTCGTCGTCGTCAGCGGATGGCCGTCAACATTATCATCACGGTTATCATCATACTCAAAGAAGGCCGCTGCTGCTGCTGCCCCTCTTGCTTTCGTCATGAATCCTAAACCCTAAAGCCCTAAACCCCTTATAGCCCCTAAACCCTAAAATCCTAAAGCCCTAAACCCCTTATAGCCCCTAAACCCTAAAACCCTAAAGCCCTAAAACCCTAAAACCCTAAACTCCTTATAGGTCACAGGGAACTTGAGGGGGGTGGGGGGGGGGGTGCGAAGACTGGATTTCACTCACCTGGCCCTTCGGAGCTCCAAGTGCCTAGGGTTTACCCATGGATATATGATATTGTATTCTGTCATATTTTATACCCATGGATATATGATATTGTATTTTGTCATATTTTGCCATATTTTGTTCCATTATATTATCTTATATCGTATCTTGTGATAATATATGACGGTACTATAAGGGTTACCCATGGATATATGAGATTGTATTTTGTCATATTTTGTTCTATTACATTATATGATGTTGTATTTTGTTATTTATAATATTATACTACGTATACTATATTATATGGTGTTTTCATATATTACACTATATGCTGGGGATCTTGAGCCTCTTGAGCCCTTCTGGCTGCAGAGACGTACCGGCGAGCGCGCACTTCTCCTCTCGACGACCACCCTTTGCCTAAACCCTTAAGCCCTAAACCCCTAAACCCTTAAGCCCTAAACCCCTAAACCCCTAAACCCTAAACCCAAAACCCTAGCCCTAACCCTAAACCCTAAACCCAAAACCTTTGCCTGCCTGACTGCTGGCCCAGCCTTTGCAAGAGTCGCTGTGCCATCTCGGCTTTGCAGCAGGCCCTCCAGGCCGGTCTTTGTAGCAGCAAAAGTCGGGATTAGAGTGTCCCGCGCGATGGCATCCCGCGGTTTTCAAGCCGTCATGGCAATGCTCTTCGGAATGAGGGCAGTGATCAGTTCAAGATTCTGCCCGTCCGAGGCTCCGTGCTTCTGGTGGTATCAAGGCCCTAGCTCGCTGGATGGCTTCCAGACGTGGAACTCGACCAGGTACTCCGAGGTATTCTTAGGGGGACATCTTAAAAGGGACCCCTTCTGAACCCTACTTGTACTTGTAGACTTGTAGCTCTCTTAACTTAAAAGGGACCCTACTGAGAGGGTCTATCTTTTTCCAAGGGTCCCCCTAATCCTAACTCCCAGGTACACGAGCATGCTTCTTTCAGGCAGTTTGCCTGCCTGCCGGTGGGATTCAACAAATCAGTGCTGCGAGGAAGATGGGGTTCCAAATCCACAAATTGCACTTCCAGATCGCAAAGGCTTTGCAGTTTGCCACAATGATGTTCACTATCGTGATGACGGCAGCTTCGGATACTGTGGGGACAACGACTTTTCTTCAGCAACGCTGCCAAGGAGTTGTGGCAACAGGTTCCCGGGTCGTACGACCACAACTACGACTTTTGGCGACTGGATGCCTGTGACGGAATGGGAGAATCAGGCTTGCAGCGGACACCCGGATGATTTTCTGGTTACCGCTGCTCCTGGGCTGGATGCTTGCAAAGCGCGGTGTGCAGCCATGCTGCCTTTCTGCAAAGGCATCGAATTCACCTCGCCCACCAAGCGCTGTGAGCTGTGGACTCATCCTGAAGGCATCCTCCAAACGAATGGCGTGCCTTTCACCACATGCTTGAAGCTCAGTCCTTCACTACCGAACTGGTTTTGGCTTTCTGGGCTAATTGAAAATTACAACAGCATGATTCTTCAAATTTAACATGTAGGTTTGTATTTTGTCGGGGATTCGGGAAGTCAGGAAGTATACCCCAGCTCCGGTCTTCTACCGCTTGGACGGGGGTGTCGACCGGGCATGTCGAGGAGCTACACCGTCAGACAATCCACCCGGGAACTATGTTGTTGTTGAGGCATCCTCGCTGCAACAATGCCAGGAGGTATGTGCGAAGTGGCAAGGTTGCAGTGGTGTCGAATACAACTATTACACACGCTGTGAGATTTGGACGCGTGCCGAAGGCATCCAAGCAGTTCAGTATGTTCCAGGCCATACATGCATGAATTACTCCGCCAGAGTTTGAACCTATCTGTCGACTGAGGGAGGTGGGTTAGGGTTTCAGGCGTTAGAGTTTGTACAAAGGGTTTAAGGGTTTTGGGTTTAGGGGAAAGGAATATGCGAGAATGGCATCAGCTGCTGCATCAGGGCCTCCCCCGTGAACCTTTGGAGAACGATTTGTAGCCCTGTTATCCTTGGAGGTTCATGGGTAGTTTTTAGTGGGGTTTTTAGTAGGGTCACTTTGGTTATAACCCAAAATTAGGGGACTTATAACCCCCACTTAAAACTACGACTTCAAACTGGCCCTCAGCCCTTAGGGTTTGGCGTTTAGGGTTTGGTGTTTAGGGTTTAGGACTTAGGGTTTTGGGTTCTTGGTTTCGGGCTTAGGGTTCAGGGAGGGTTTAGGACTTAGGGTTTTGGGGCTTAGGGTTCAGGGAGGGTTTAGGGTTCAGCGTTCAGGGAGGGTTTAGGGTTTAGGGTGCTCTGTGCCTTCCACAGAAACCTAAGCCCAGTACAGGGAAGGATGCCCTAGCAGCTCGTCGGAAGCTGCAGCTGCAGCAATGCCTGATGCCCGCAATCCGTTGAAAACTTGACCCAATGCCTCACCAGATCATGCGGAAAGCAGATGCACAATGCAGCTGCTGACCCTTAATCGTATGACAAGCTTTGCGGAAGTATTGTTGGCACTCACAGCAGGTCGGCAGATTCTTTGGTGTCCACGTGTTTCTCCTTTTTGTTGTTGCTGTCGCCCTGCTCCAGATTACGCACCACGAAACTGTCGAGAGCCGATGTAGGGCTAGGGCACGACTGGCAGGAAAAGCACAGCACGTGTTATCACACACATCATCTGCCTCAGCATCAGCATCATCATGATAGCTGTCACTTGCATCGCCGTCATTACAGCCGCCATCATACTAATACCAAGGAAGCTGCCGTTGAGATGCATTGTGTCGGCTCATGTTCTTGACATGGACCAGAGCATAATTCGTTGAGGAAGACATGATGGTTTGGAGTACACGCCTCCATTCGATGGTGTTTTTTGATGCTACAGCTCGAATCAGTTACCCTAGCAGTGCGGTGCACATGCAAATGCAGCAAAAAGACTAATTGTGCAACGCCGTCCCGCTATGCAAGCGTAGGCTGTCGCCACAATAGGGTAGGTGTTGCGCGTGGTCGCTGCCCAGATCAGTGTGCAACCTATCTCAGCAAAATAGGAAGGCTATCAAGGGCTTTCTTTACCCTAAACCCCAAACCCTAAACCCTGAACCCTAAAGCTGTTAGGAAGACAAGGGCATCAAGTCTTCGCAAGGCGAACCCTCACCAGCAAAACCCGTAATCCTGACCTCCAACTCTCAACATCAAACTCCCGAACAGCCCCATAAAGCAGGCATAGAAGGGAGCCCTGAATATACAGAGGTCAAAAATTAAAAGGGTACATCTCCTACCTTCAAAGGCCTTGATGTTAGGATACTTGTTAAAAAGGGTGCGTGTAGAGATCTGAGTAGTGAGGGGTGATTAAAGAGTCGTATTCCCGTACAGCTCCCTATATCCCTATACTATAGTAAATATTCCCCAAGACCCCTATGAAGACCACTAATTCCATCCTGTACCCTAAACCCTAAACCCTAAACCCCAAACCCCTAAACCCCAAAACCCTAGGCCNNNNCCCTAAACCCTAAACCACACCAAAAAAAAGAGCCCCACGTCGAACTCCAAGGAGACGCCTCATTCAGCTGCGGCGTGGCTGCGAACTCTGCGCGTGTCGAGGCCGTCGTGGGTCTCGGCCCTAAGCCCTAAACCCTAAGGTTTGGGGTTTAGGGTCTAAGCCCTAAAGTTTAGGGCTGCTCTTTCGGTAAATTAGGGTTTGGGGTTTAGGGCTTAGGGCCTAAACCCTAAGCCCTAAACCCGAATTTACCGAAAGAGCTCCGGGGCTGAAGATGTAGGGGTTTAGGGTGTTTTTTTGGGGGGGGAGTTCTCTAAGGTAGGGTGATTTTTTTAGGTCCCCGAAGAAGATATGGCACCCATGTAAAAAGGGTGCGAAGAGGGACCCTAATTTCGAAAACTGTTTGTTATAGGGTTTAGGGTTTCGGGTTTGTTATAGCTGCCGAAATGATCTGCAGTATTTCAGACCCGGTGCAGAGGTTCGGGATTTGAAGTTTAGGGTGTCAGGATTTGGGAGTTAGGGTACCCGAGTTTTCGGGTTTAGCGTTTAGGGGTTTTTGGGGTTCAGGGTCTTAGGCCTAGGGTTTCGGGGTTGTGGTTCAGGGTTTAGGGGTGTTTAGAGCTTCAGGGTTTAAGGCTTCAGAGCTGTGGTGGCTTAGGCTTTGGGATTGAGTGTAGGGGTGTTACGTTCAGCGGCTTCGGGCTTTAGGGGTTTAGCGTGTAGGTCGGATGTAGCAGCATCTGACATCGATAAAAGTTGCAAATGAGTGACAAATACTAGCACCGGAAAGATGAGCAAAGTTGAGAACGATGAGAGTGGACGGAATGTCCTTAGCAGTAGTGTCGATGGTCATCGCGGCATGCAGCGAGCATCAACATGATACCGAGATGGCAGGAAGCACAAGCATGTCATTGGATCCGAGAACCGACACTAGAGCTAGAGTACTTCGTAGAAGAAGGACACGAAAACGGATGTCCTACTGGAATATCGTATGGTCATTGAGAGAATACTCTTGGCAATATAGGTCAAGTATAGACATTTTCTACTAGCACGAACTTTTTACTGGACTCCGACTATTAGTCAACACCTATGGGATGTTATGTCTGTACATAAGTTGGTGACCTTTACTGTCTTAGCCAAGAAGAATGCTATACGCACTTAAACGACTGTTCAGCTTCACATGATTATTCGCCACAGTAGGGGGATGTTTCGAGTCATGTCAGTGAAACAGGACCAGAAAGAGAACAATCCACAGGTTGTTCATATACCCTTAACCCTAAACCCCTGGCCGAGGTGATACCGTTGATGAGATAAATCCTGCACTACCCACAATAAGGAATGTATACCACAATTCCAATAGTTTAAGGTCCTTAAGGTAATGCAGGATTTCTATCATCAACAGTACTTCCCCTTAGACACCAACCCTTAAACCCTAAAAACCCTACATCCACACATCGCGTTCCGGGTGTTCGGGTTTAGGGCTTAGGTATTGGGGTTTCGGAAAAACTTGATACTTTGGGCTCAAAAGCCTCGGCCCAGACCAGTGATCTTTACAATCTTAAGCCGCCAACACTGCAGGCGAACTGCTGAAGGTTCAGGGTATCTAGGGTTTAAGGTATAGGGCTTATAGGGTTTAGGGTGGGTGCAGAAGGGTGGGTAATATGGGTAGTTCTCTAAATTAGGGTTCTTTTGTAGCTCCCCAATATAGTACGGCACCCTTACTAAAAGGACCCTAAAAGGGACCCTAATTTAGAGAACTAGGCATATCAACTTTGAAACTTTCCAATGCTGCACCGCCCCTACGTCCTGAAACCCTGACTCCTAAATCCTTCAAGTCCCCAAAGCACAGAAAGACGGGGTTCTTGTTAGGGGATGTCATTCAAGTTAGCATAATAAGGAAACCATATTCTTTACTATAGATCCCGATTTTGGTAACTTAAGCCCCTGAACCCTAAACCCTAAACCTAGGAATTGAAATCAGGGGCCTGGGTCTGGTTTAGGGTTTAGGGTTTACCGACCTTCACAAGAGCCCTAGAGCATCCGAGTGCTACACTGGCCACACAAAACGATGTCCAGTGCATCCGGGTACCCTGAACCCTGAACCCTAAAGCCCTAAACCCCTAAACCCTAAACCCCTAAACCCTCAACCCCTAAACCCCTAAATCCCTTCACAAGAACCCAGAACAGGAAACCCTCAACCGTTGAACCTCACGCTAGGGCCGCCAACCCTAGGCCGCCCAAACCCAAAAGCAGAGCCATGGTTTAGGGTTTAGGCTGTTTAGGGTTTGGGGTTTTGGGGGTTGAGGGGTTTAGGGTTTAGGGTATTCGGGTTCAGGGTTTTAGGGGTTTCGGGTTGAGGGTTTAGAGCAGGAGGGAGGTCCTACGCGCCACCTTCGCCTCCACGCCGCTGCGGCGATTCGGGGCAGCGCTGCGGCGCAGCGAGGGGCCTCGGAAAGCGTGGGAGGTTGAGTGAAGAGTAGGTTCAGGGTTTAGGGTTTAGGGTTTAGGGGTTTAGGGTTTAGGGAGTAGGTAGGTGGGAGCTTCCGAAAATGAGGGGTGCCACTATTTTGGGGTCCTTATCAGGTACTAAATATTAGGGTCCCCTGTTTCAACAAGGCACTCTGAGGCTCTCTAGGGCTTCTAGAGGGCTTCTAGGGGCCCTAAACCCTTAAACCCCTTAAACCCCTAAACCCTAAAGGGATTCTTCAGGGGGTTCGTTATGATTCTCTAGGACTTTTTATGGGGAGTGGAGGAGGTGAAGTTGAGGGGATTTCTGGAATCAAAGCAGGAGAGTCGAGTCGAAGTTCGCCTCTGAGGTTGTTGGGGAGTTGAGGTCCTCGCATTTTGGGGTTTAGGACCTAGGATGTTAGGTGAGGTTAAGCGAAGATGAGGGTTTTTGAATTCGGGGTCCCTCCTATTTATTCACTATCCCTGCCGAGAAACAGAGTCTAGGGGGTTGCTGTAAGGGACTTTAGGGATGGAGTTCGTCTGAGTTCGTTGTTGCAAGCTTCATTGTACGATGGATTAGGGCCTGAATCATTAGAACAGCGCTCCGGGTAGAGAGGACACTATAATAAGCACATAACGACAGCAATTGATCTAAAGCCACCGAGCTTGCATGACTTGTTTTGGGGCCTCAATCATTAGAACATGGTTTCGGGGTATATACTATAGTTATCACAAGGACCCCCCAAAAAAATAATAAAAATAAAAAAAGTATAGATAATAGGACCATCTTGTCGATCTCGTGATTTCTCGGCCTACTCCTCACCAGGGGAAACCTTCAGCCTGGGGGGGTTAACGGTTTTGGGTTGAGGGCTCAGGGCTTAGGGGGCTTAGGGCTTTTAGGGCTTAGGGTTTAG